TCCACGACGAAATGACTTTTGGAGGCTCGGAAGATGTTATTCGTAATCAGCTCGTTAAACTGAATCTGAATATGTATAATAAAGTCAAAAATAAATTCCACTGTAAGTTTGCATTAGCTGAACCTTATGTAATATGTTCATAAAATTTCGAGTCATTTACAACTGACATACGTTCTGCCATTTGCAAAGTTTTGTTCAAAAACTTGATCGAATTAGTGTGACTACGTTACCAAAAAGTTTGTTTAACTTGAGATGAACCTGTAAAGAAATGAAAATTTTCAATTATCGCTTTAGCTGCCACTATCAACAACTTTTGACCTACTATTAGATGCACGTATTTCCTTGTTTTCGCTTTACTTTTATGTACTAAAAACGCGGTAGCATAATCACGCCGCTTTCCTTTCTTTCTGTCTTTCTTTTTATCCTTTGAAAAAATGTCATATTAAACGTCCAAAGGAAAAGAGAAGAAATGAAAAATTACTTCACGTTTCTAACGAGAAAATATTGTATGGCCATATTACACATAAAAATCGAGCATACTCATTACACAATGCATTCACTCAGTCGCAAACAACGAAAGAAACCAAGGAGCCCCCCCAAAAATGCATGTTAGTTTGAAATTTTTTCTTAGACATTTGGAAGTGCCCCTCACCAAAAATAGAAACTCGTCTGGGTTATCGAGTGTGTTCAATACGAAAAAATACTTTTCAGCAACTCGAAACCAACTACTTTTTTCCTTCCGGTGATATGCAAGCACAGTAAACAAGCGGAACATGTATATGTAGTCCTCTATAGAAGTACGGGCTATACTGTACTGTACTATCATAGAATAAAAAGCATTCTCAATCGCGAAATAAATGTTGCGATGATATTTAACTGAATGGATAACCTACGGTTCTTATCCTTCTAGGACTATTACTTGAAGCGTTCGAAGCCTGATGTATGATGGATAAAAGAAATAATTAAGATACAGAGAAGGCTCTGAATTCATCTTTTCTATCGAAAAAAAAACTTTAAATGTTGTTCGATAAATGTCGCTCCAGGTAAATTGCAATGCAATTTCCAATATAACAATCAGTTCTTGCCACTCGCTGTGAATGAACTTACCAAAATATCATCACCGGAATATTATAGACCGCCGATGTGGCTGAACGATATGTCACGGTGACCTTGAGATGAGATATAAATCCATTGACTTTGGCAGCTAACTGGTGTTTCTCACCGAAGTTTTGATCAGTCACGTGTACACAATACACAATGACCGAAACGGATAAATCGGGTTGTCCAAACGTAACGGCATTACGTTTTGGACGCACTAAAATGAAATCATCTCGGAAACTAAAATAGTTAAAAAGCTCATTTAAACGCCATTCGATGCAGCTCGTAAAAATGAAATTACGACGGTATAAAAATGAAATTTTTTGGATGAAGTCTCGAATTTTGAGAACGGTTTTTGTAGGCCGTAACGGCGTTTCGAAAAAAGACCCTTTTTTCGATTGCTATCAACAAAAACGTGAATTCCGACAAAGGTAAAGGTCATAATGAAAAGTTTTTAGCACAGAAATTATAGAGCACGGAACGGGCTATCCGATGGTAAAAGAAGAATTTTTTCAACATCTTCAGTTAAGCCAAAAACATAGATGTAACGGTGTTACGCACTATTTTTGTCGAGTGTTTTTGCGGGACCTAATATGATCAGAAGATTTTGATATTTATACAATAATTATTCGTGCTACAGTCAGCCGATGTACGCAAGAATAAAGTCGCTACCTCGGGTTGGAGGGTCAAAAACTGTAAATTAAGTCCGCAAATGTCCAAATTTTCTAAAGCGCTGAAGCTCAAAACCAAATACGCCATTTTGTAGAGAATTTAATTTTGTACGAAACCATATGCTTAGAAATTTATTTTTCGAAAACTTTCTCGGTTAAAAATAGAAAATCCGATGTTTGGAATGTTCAAAAACCGGTTTTGAGACTCAAAAACCCATTTTTATCCAAAAAGCGTTTTAAACGAGTTCTTAGAATTAAAAATTACATCTAGTGATGTATTCAAAATTTTCGAAAGCGAAAATATTTTTTTTATAAATTTGAGCAGCGAAGTGTCGCGTTACTTGGACAAGCCGAAATATGTTCATCCAGTCTAAAACGAGACCTATATGTTCAATGTTTTCTAGTCCCATATTCGTCGAGATATATTAGCAATACACTGTAAAGTCGGAAAAATTTATAGAAAATGCTCGCCGATTTTCAAAAAGTCCATATATAAAATCCTCCTGGACTTTCCAGATTATAGAAAATCAAATTTTCAATAATGTGGAAAATCGACATCGATTTTCTACATTGTTGGAAATTATTTATAGAAAACCCTGAGCCAATTTCTCTCTAGAAAATCCTCAGGGATTTTATATATGGACTTTTCGTAAATGAAAAAGTCGGATTATTTTCTACTTCTACTACTAGAAAATCGATGAGGATTTTCTACATAATGAGGAAGAACAATTTGAGTGAGAATGTTGATAATCAGGGACTTGTAAAGTAAAAATGGCTGAAGATAAACGTTTTCACCGTTATTAAAAGCTATTGAACTTCGAAGTCAAGTGAGGTGTATTATTTGGCTTATTGGATAACAATATGATTTTTTACTAATAAAAACCAAATTCGACATCAGTCACGTGTTGAACGACTGTTATTTTGTTTAAAAAATAATAAAATAAATGTGAATTGTTAGGATCATGTCTTTGAATTAATAGAGCCAACTACATTTTTGGAAGATGCTAAATTCAGGCATAAAAATGAGGAATATTAGCAAGAGTCTCCAAATCTATCATGGCTATAGGCACCATACAACAGCAACTATAACCATAGCACTTTTAAGACTGACAATAATGCCTCAATGACAATAGAATTAACTAAAATGAACTTTGTGTGAACTTTGACTCTCGCTTTTTCTTTGACTCAGCAACATCATGGCTTTGTACTACCAGTAAACAAAAGTTTTTTTCTATTATCAGATGTCAGATGTCACCGCAAAGATAAAGCTAGAATTTTACATTCCTTATCTTTTTTTTTTTGAAAATTCAAATTTGTATTTTAAAAAAACCCGAGACAACATTATCAATACTTGATGTTATAGTACTCTAACCTTGGTCTGGTGGTATCAGTCATCCATCACATTTTTTGAATTTCTTCTTCTCTAATTCGTCAGGAAAGGCATAAAGTGGTACAAACCGATCGGTTGCGTCGAGAATAGGTGTTTCTGCTCTAATTAACAAAGATTCTTGCACTAATAGTCGATACATATGCTGTTCAGATAAGATAATGCGAAAATATGTGTTAGTCATGACATGTCCTATTTCTTTGTATTGTTTTGCAATAGCTCACTTGGCTTCATATGTAGATGCTGAAGTTGTAGTTGTACCTGTAAATGTACTAAAACATTTTTCGGGATCGTCTTCTCCCAAATTAATTAATCTTTCAGGAAGACTACCAGTTTGTGATCTAGTGACACGTTGACAGAAACTTGGAAGAGATTGTTTCTGGAGAGGGATCTTGTTTTCAGAATTCTACTATTATTTTTTATATTTCTTTGAAATGACAATGCAAATTTGTATTTTAAAAAAAAAGAGAAGGTTCTGGTTTAAAGTTCTAGTTTTATCTTTGCGTTCCTGTTTGTGATGACGAACTAACAAAAAGGAAAAAGAAATGTAGTTAAGTTATAGTTTTTACTATCATTTGTACAAGTTTTACAATCAGAAAACCGGTCACCAAATGTTAGACTAAACCTGATTCCTATGTGTATGTGCAAGCATGACTAAACACTCCTCTCTGTTTAACGATATATTTGATTTGAATGAATAGCATGAATAAAAACATAATCATATATACATAAAAGAGAATCTACTAACAACGAGAGAGTGACTAAAAATGGAAAGAAGAACAACAACTGACAGACAATGATAGCAAGTGTCTAGCGTTAGTGGAGAAATAGAGAGAGAGAGCCGCTAACAACTATGAAATTAAAAACTGCTGCATTATTAATTATTTTGGTGTAAACTACTCATCATAATACCATCTTTGTTTAAAGTCCTTCATTAAGTGAAAGATTGACTTGTTTATTTTTCATTAGGGGTGGCACTTTACTAGTTACTCGGCGTTAATTTACCAGGTAAAGTACCGAAGTTAGTTACTTCATTACTAGTAATGAGTAACTACTGTCCCTACTTAGTTACTAGTGACGAGTAACGAATTTTTCGTTACTTTCTGGTGGAGTAACTAAGTAACGAAATGAGTTACTCGTTGCTGGTTACAAGTAAAGTAAAGGTAAAGTGCCACTTCTATTTTTCGTTCTTCTCTGTAGACAAAACTATTTTTGTTTACTTCTACCTTTTCTTACCTTCATATTACAACTGTTGAAAGATTAGCACGCCTTTTCCTTGTTTTCGGCGTTCCTTAAAGCTCACAAGGTCTTTTTTGTCGCTAAGAGCATTTTGGAATGACAGTAATCTTTCAGTAAGTTTAAGATTTCAAAATGTTCTCTTCTTCTTAACCATTGTATTAAACATTTTGCTTCCAAAAAAGCCCGGTGTGAACCGTTTCTATGAAACTATTCCCAAATGCAGCAGACATTCATCATAGCAGAAGTTGTTTACCGTTCTTGTCAAAGTAGCGCTAAAAATTGACTCTAAATGAGTCTCATTCAACTCCACTAGAGGAATGGTTTGTATGATCCTCACTTAGCACCTCCGTTAAATTTAATTTGAATATTTTTTTTGCTAAATCAATAGCAAAATCTCGTCCTCTGTACATATTTTCTTCATTATTCTTTTCAATATTATCGAACCATCTTTTGGGAATAAATGACGTACCATGCAAAGAGCCAATTATATCACCAGTCATAGCAGCAACCGTGTCCGTATCACCACCCATCATTACAGAGCGTATTATGCATCCTTCAGGATCCTTATAGGAATTCACCAAGCACCATAGAACACAAGGAATAGCTTCAATAGCACGTATTTGAAATGTTGATCCAAATTTTTTTACTATATCACTGTCGTTCAAAACAAGCTCATCATCCTTTTTGTTAGATTGTTCTTTGTACAATGATAATACAAGTTCAATTTGACTTTTCATAGCGTTTGTTCTAGCCGATGACGACAATTCATTTAGAAATTCTTCAGGATTTATTCACATTTTAACGCATAAATGATAGCTTTTGCTTGTATGAATGCCCCATCAATACCTTCTGGATGTACATGAGATGATATAATAGCTAACCTAACAGCTTCATACAATTGTTCATCATTAGCAGTTCTATAGGCCAAAGCAATTGGTGCTATTCTCATAGCGCCACCATTAGCAAACGAACCATCTTTAAATGCAATACGTCCACATTCAGTATAAGGTATTTTACCATCTTGTACACATTTCATTGCATTAATTGCACTATCAGGATATCCTCTTATAACACCAGTTGACCAATATTCGGGATATGTACGAGCAGCATGTCGGGGCACAAGGCCTGAATTATGAACTAAACTAAATGATAATGCTAACATGCTGTTTGTGTCATCCGTATACATATTTATTCTTTCCGGTAAATCATATAATCCCATATGCTGACCACTGACAAAATCTTTTAAAATACCGTATTTCTGTTGAATGGACAGCGAATCGTAACCTTCAACAGGTGCTCCCAATATATCTCCAATCATATGACATAACAGACAACTTATAAAACGATCTTCTAAGTTGTATAAGTTCGAATCTAATTAATGAAGAAAAAAAGAGCTAACAATCTTTAAAATCGGATATCTAACTGCACTCAAAGGTGGTCCCATGAAAGAATATTCTCAAGTATCTGATCCTTTTTTCATAATTCTGAACACCTGGTCGGATTTCCAGAGTCCGACCCAAGAGCAAGAGCTGCTAGCGATCACGCATTCATTCTTTAATATCACTGATAACATATGATCGGGTGCGAATTATGAAAGAAGATGAGCAGATACTTAAAAATGTCATATCATCAGCTCGTGTTATTTCATCATATTCTGAAAGATCAATTCATAGCTCGTTGCTACTAGAGAGAAACTTCTACGAAAACAGGATAGGGCGAGACGAGCCCTATTGTTGATCACTACATTGTATCTGTCAGTATCTTAGTTTTTGAGCGTTCACTTCGTTCATTGTGTATAGTAACTCGTTTCTTCTATTACCTTGTTTCTGTGGAGTTGTGGTAATAACTGAAATCTCTCCAGTTTCTGGTACTGGAACCTGACTGTCATCATTTTGTAACATTTGTCTGTGGTCAGACGTATTAAACGCTGTATGGATAACTATTGTTGCTGCGCTACTTTCTCCCGTTATCTTCGGGCAACTTCTTGCTCGCGATCGTTAATTGTTACTAGAATCAAACAGAAAAGTGCCATTGGAATTAGGTGAGAGGGGCGCTTGCCTGACTCTTTGCACTCACAGTATTTTTCTTCCTAAATTTTTTTAAAATACATCATTCAGTGCAACTTAACAAGTCAAACTTGCATATATTTGGTTCTTATTTAATACAAATGCTTTTGAAATAAAAAACAAATACCTTTAACAAATATGTAATCAGAAGAGGAGCTGTCTGAGATCACTAAAGTCTTCACTGATTATGCTGTTCGGCAGACTATATTGAGAGCATGCATTATTCACGTTCACCGCGAATTCATTTTTTATATGTTTTCTAAATAACGGATGGGTGGGGTTAGACATGGGTAAAGGAAATATGGAAACGGATAAAGTACGTTACTAGTAGTGGTTAGTAATTGTATTGGGAGGTGCGTGTTAGATAGGTAGTAGATGATATGATGCTAATGAGGACGTATATACGATCCAAAAGCACATATATGTAACTATATGAGTTGTCAGTGACGTCACACATTCAGTCATTTCTAATTTTTCATTCATACAACATAAATAAGAGAGACACCTGGTGTCAATCACTATTAAAATCTTTTCTAATGGCTCACACTCAAATCATATACCCTCCTTCTGCCCACGCGTATAGTGACAGATATATAAACAAAAGTGTCACTAGAAACAACGCATTTTAATTAAACAATGAAATACACTCAATCTACAACTTGATCTACTCACCTCTTTCTGTTTTTGTGTTTCTGAGTCCATGACTCTTTTCATATATTCTCCTACCTATGCACTCTACTCTTACACATCCAGCAGCCTCCACTCTTTATTAGTTAACCTCGTTCCCTATGCCGCGTGTGCCTATATACTCGAGTTTCCAAGTTCGGTGATTCCTTGATGATTCAGCCGTCTCACCTGTTTCTACCACCCATATAACTGTATATCTTCTACTATCTATGAATATATTAATTGTTTATGCGTAGAGGAAAGAAAAAAAGAAGAAAAAGACAAGCATTCACAAGTCAAACTTCCGGTAATAATTCTTTCAAGAATCAGATTTCCGCCGCTTTCTTTCTAGAATCCTAAAAAATAATTTTGTATTTGTTTCGGTTATGTTTTTCTCCAGTTTCTTGACAGAAATATCCTGCAGGCAGTTTCTTTACAAGAATCATGTAATGGGAAATCGTCTGTTTCTGGGAAAAAAATTTTAAATCTTTCGATAGTTGTCGTTTGTTTGTTCGCCCAGATCACAACTTTTTATATAAAGTGTTTACTTTTCACTTACACACGATGAGGTTAACAAAAAAATATATATAAGCTTTGCGACATCCAGGTTAATAATTTCAAAATAATTAGTTTTTTCACAACTATCACAATTAAGTTAAGAAAAAAGGAAGCACCAAAGTATCATAATCACGATAGTGAAAAAAATTCTACCAAACTGTTGAATCAAGATCACAAAACGATATTTACACTAGAAAGCGTAATGTCTAACTTAGCGGCAATGGCTTTTCTAAAATGGCGTTCTTTAAATTATTAGCCGTTAACAAATTTAATACTAGTGAAAATAGTACAGAAAGAACTAACTAGTTAAAATTGTAAATTTAAGACTAGGGAACGATAATCACACAAATGCTTTTCTGATCCTGCGAACAATATTCCAACTTAAGAGGGAAAGACGCATAGACTAGAAGTGAAAAGAGAGAAAAAATAATATAAATAACAATAAATATAATAATATAATGATAAATTAAAAATAAAAGATCATAAATAAATAATATGATCTTACCATAAACCTAATAATAACATGTTTACTTGATTTTCTCGTAATGGAGGTGGTATTTTGACGATAGAACCCATTATCGGCTAGGTATGTTTGTGTGACCATTTTACAATTGGTGTACCATCGATGTCTAGCATCAACGTAATAGGAAATGTATCAATTGTTGTTGTTTGAAAGTGATGGATTCGGTTTGCATAAACAGTTCCTGATAGAATATCACATGGTAATAACTGATTAGCAAAACGTGGATAATTAATGATCAAATTTTTGTTACGACGAATTGTTTGCTTCAAATGATTATTATTTTCATCCAGTGTGACACATTCAACAACATTACTAGCATCACGTGATTTACCATTTTGTTTACAGAATAATGAGCATTGATTATCGTCGTTTATTGATCTTAAACATATTGAGCAACAAGTTATCTCTTTGAAGGATGATTCTTGTTCTAGTAATTCTGTCATTTTCGAATGTGTTTTTAATAATTTGTTGTTTGGAGGTAATGCCGTTCGAATCAATTTTAGTAGTTTATTTACATTGTCTTTCTCTAATTTAATATGATCAACAATTTTAGAATTTCTGTATGATACTGTTTGAACGACACGTGTGCATTTGGATACAACGGTTCGTCGTATTCATCATTAATACACAGATCTAGAATACCAGACGATGATGACATAAATCGACCTTTGCTTTCGGAACAGAACTAGTTATAGATAAACATCTTTCTACTCTCGTGAAAGACAACTTCTGTGAAATTTCTATCACTCCCTAGTGAGGAGAGGACAACTTCCTTTACCTGTATCCAAATCAAGTTCTAATACACCTAACACTTCCGTGATTGTCTAGTCTTCACTAAACATTTCTGTACTTGACTGAGGCGATTCGTTGAATTGGTCCTAAAAACGATGAAGTCATGAGCAAATTAAAAGAAGAAAATTGTTCAAGACTTGCGTTTTGAACAGTTTGCGTTTCTTCTACGAATATTAAACTTGATATATTGACTGGCTCTTTTTATTTTCGACAAAAACGTTGAACTCTTAACGCGTTTCGTGTTGGTTCTGAAGAAAGTATGTCATTTTTAAAAACCAACACTACAAGTGAAGAAATGCGTACATTGTTCTACCGAAAAACCGTTAAATCAGCTGCGAAAGAACAGCGTCCGCTGTTGACTCTTGATCCATAGCTCAATAATAACAATGCAAATAGAAAAAGTATGAAAAGAGAACGGAGTTTGGACTGAATGAAGACCGGAGTGCGAATTATTAAATTTTTACGCTGTTTAGAGAACGAGACTGATAACAGAACAGTATTGAAAGATACTTTTTCACTGTATGTGTACAGTTCTGGAGTATAATTTTTCATACGCACGCTACTTCATGTTTTACATTCATATTTTCATAATTCAATCATTTTAAGATGTGGTATGAAGCTGCTCACATAGTTTTGGTGTAACAAAACTTTTGTTGGTGCAGATTCTTTTGCAAAGAATACGTGTGTAAACAAACATACAGCTGAACTTGCAATTACTTTTGGGTAGCATGTAATTTCAAAAGATCGTAGGCCTTTAGGACCAAAAAAATCTAGTCTTGCTCTACTTTTTGGAAATATCATATATATTTGCATTTTTTTGCATGTAATGCAAGATGTATATAGATCATAATTCACTATTGGAACATATGACCGCTCTCTTTTCAGTCTTTTGAATTCAGAACTCTGAACCGTTTTCCTTTCAGCACTAACTTCATTCCGGAAAAAATCCCTGTCCAATAACACTGTTCTAAAGTGAAACAAGAATCAGCCCCTATGATTATTGAAATTTGACTGAAAAACAAGATGGCGATCAGATAGAAGGCGTTGTCCTGCCTTGAAAATTTAGCCAAGATTCATATAGCAAAAAATATGAAAATTTTTGTTAAATCTGATTCTTGAAAGAATTAAAGAAAATTTTCTGTTTCTGGACAGAACAACGCTGAAATCTGATTCTTGAAAGAACTTGCATCTGAACGTCGATTAGTGTTGTAACGAACTTGGTTTTTTTCAACATAACAAAAACACGGACGTGACACGTAGTGTGTTTCTTTCTCATTGACTATTTACTCAGTTAACAATAGTTCTATTAGAATACATCAGTGTTGAAAAAAAACATAACAGAGAAGGGTGCGTCATCACAATCACAAAATGTAAAGTTCAAAAAGACATGATGCAGCCAACCACAGAATTATAGAACTTGAAAATCATACCACCCAAGCGAATGCGTAATTTTGAATTATCTCTATCGCAGCATCTACACAAAGAATTCAGCATCAAGCTACCGAGAAGAGCAACCTTACATGTTAGTAGACTATAAACAGCAACGAAAGCAGCTAAACTTTACAATGTAAAGCTCAACTATTTTATAGAGATTCGAAACTTCTCACTACAAAGGGTAGATTATGACAAAATGATTAGAATTCCGAGCTTCAATATTCTGAACTTTACATAGCCTGAGAGATATTGGACCAAACTTAATGAAACTCGGCGCTTTAGACACACGGAGAAATTTTCTGAATAAAACCGCGATTAACCGTGGTATAAAAGCTCTCGGTCTATAAACACCGCGGGAGTCAGACCGTTTATTAGGTTTTTACACATCGGCCGAAGTCGCGGTTTTTCATATCGCGATTTCGAGCAATTTTTTTACAAAAACGATTTTCTTGATGTTATCGCCGTTATGTGTGGACGGAAGGACGGCAAATTTCCGTCCTTCTCTCTTTCTTCATTCCACATTTGTTTCTATAGCTCTGACCTCGGTTGCCCTTGTTCTTACCACTACATCCATACGCCGTGGTTGTTGCTTCTATTGCACTGCGATAATCCTGTAAGGCAGTTAGTCGACCTGAAGCCACTCATCTTTCATATGCGTTGTATAACATTCGAACTCCTTACTCTTGATTTGCTTGTCCAACATGTTTCCATTGAGCTATATCGGATTCTTTATATAATGATCAAAACTGATGTTATTTCTTACCGATCTAAGTGTTTTAAGTAAGAAACAGATGTGGAAGATGACCAGAGATGCCAGGTCCAAATCAAGAAAATCGGAAAGATCTCAGAAAAAGAAGTTCAAAATCAGAAAATCAATAGACCTTTCAGAAAAAAGAGCAAAAATGAGGCAGAAAACAGTTCCCAAAATCAGAAGATCTGGGATCTCTGGCGATTACTATCCTGGCGACACACCTGATACGACATCTTCCTGCCGACAAAAAACAGATAAAAATGCGGTTCCGATATCGCGGTTTGCTCATACAAACCGCCTTGTCCAGTCAGGTGAAGAACGCGATATCGTCGAACCGCAGTCTTATTGACGGAAACCTCGGTCTCGAAATCATTGAAAAGCGTGGTGAAGATAAACCGACGTTTAAATCGCAAACATCATGGTTTAAGAAACCCGTACGCGGGACGGTATTCGAAGAAATCGCCGTTTGTCCTTACCACAGTGACTCAAACCGCGATTAACCGCGTTTTTCGGAATGACACAGTTTTGTAGAAAGAATCCGCGGTTAACCGCAGTTTTAATCCGTGCTGAGTTTTGAAATATACTCAACAGCTTCGTTTACTTAGTATTTATAGAACTTTGCATAATTTTGGCAGCTTATTACGTTTTATTAATTAATTAGAATATTTATAAAATACCGAGGTTTTTCAGAAACCCTTATCAACCTTTAATTTTAAATTAATTTTTTAATGATGCCATTGAATAGAACTTGTAAAACTGAATCATTCAGATCGATTTCTATCCTTCCAAAAAATGTTTTGCATTGCTTGATCAGTATTTAACTTCGTCTACCCTCCTGTTACCGGGTCATAATGATCTGAGCATACCTATATGAGTGAATTGCAAGCCATTTGTACTGTTTGCACGGAAAAAATGGTCTCGTATGGTTCTCCTGCAGTTGTTAATCAAACTTGACGATTTCTATAGGGTATATTATCCATACCCATGGCTAGTTCGTTCACTAAGATTGGCCTAACCACTGCTAGATATTTCGAGATTTTTAAAAAATAATGTCAGTTTTTCATCAAAATTTCAAGTGGCCACGTCGATCAGTGATAACTGAAATCGACATGAGTCTTTTGAAGAAGCATCTTTGCAAATTATTCTTTCACCAGTTCGTAGCCCACAACTTGGGCTTCAAAACTGTGTAATTTGATAAAATGAGTTCTCTTTTCTA